TGCTCGCAGCAAAGCCCACCTCCGCGCTCTCGCAAGCGCCGCAGCCACTGCGAGCCTCTAAGCGCCGAGCTCCGGAACCGCCGCAGCTCGCCTGGCGCAACGGCCACCCTAGCGTGCCCGCATGCTCGCCAACCAGCGCACCCGCACGCCTGCCACCACGCGCTGACCGGCCGTTCCACAAAGGCCATTGATGTGTTCAACCAAGGAGGGGTGGTTCTGGACGCCAACCCACGACGACAGGGAGATGCGGCGGCTCGAGCCCAGAGCGGAACCACCGGCCGGGGATGCACGCTGCGGTGCAGATCCGGCGTGACTCGACGGGGTCACACACGCCAGCATTGTGGGGAAGAAACAGAGAAAGGAGGAGAGAGAGAGGTGAGTGGGTGAGAGGACCTATCTTTTTCGCCTGTTGCAATGCACGGGCTCTTTTGCTAGTATTTTATGAAAAATATAGTTACTATTTCCATCTGAAGAATCTAAATAATTTTTTGTATGTTAGAGACAATTAAATGCATTCTTTCCAAAACATCATCTATTTCTGAACAGAGGTTGTGTACGGTATGCAGATTCACGTGACACAGTTCCAATCAAGATTCAAGATCTTCATAAAAGCACCAATTCAAGTTTCAGATTACAGCTTAATGGAAAGAAGAATATGTGGTGTGTGTACCTGTAAACCATGATTCTCTGCATGATACTTGTTATCGCCCTCAAGACGTTCAACCTCAACATATTTATCGAACGATGCATACACGTCACGACAACCTTTAACATCAAGTTGAAGGTCTGCAAGGAAATAATACAGCATTATCTCAGCTATAAAGATTGAAACACAAAGATTGAAACACAGCTAATGGGAACCTGGTACCAAGATAATGTGTAGTTACGTACCATAAAAGGACTCCTTCCTGTTAGATTTATAGTCCACGTTTATACACTCAATATAATTAATGTGGTGACCTTCAAATAATTGCTCGATTGTTCCTTCTACAACAGTTCCCTAGGGAGAAAGCTAAGTTAATAGAAGCCCATGTGCTACATATAGGAAGCCTTACACTAAATTCATTACCTTCATCTTATCTTCAAGTTTCTCACAGAGAACTCTGTTGAGCTCTTGTACATCATGCTGCATGAAGGAATCATATGTGTCCCATCCAAAAGATTTCGTCAACTCTTTTGTAGCTACACTGTTGTCACTGTACTGGAGCTTATAAAAAAGGGTTTGCAGAGCCAAGGGAATACTTCCAGATGGCATGTCGTTTTCGGTGGTTGGCATATGATACACAGCCTGCAAGAAAACCTCAGTTAGTCGACTAGTACAGAAAACAATAATGCCTAGAAAGTTACAATGCATAAACCAGACCTTTCTGAAGTATGGTATGTGGTACAATGTTTGTAGAAGAGAGTTCATATAACAGGTCGCTCCTTGGTTTTTCAAACCAACATAACCTGTTTCCTTTTTTGAGTCATATGTCCAATAGTCAACCATTTTGCGGGCAGCAACCTCTGCCTCCACAACAATAGTATCATTCACAAGGTAACCTCTACTTGGATCATATAACTCACTCAAAGGCATAAAAGAAGTGAAACCCCAATCACTCTCACGTGCACTAAATTGATGTTGAGTATCTGCCAGACAGAGAAGAATAGTGCATTAGAGATGCATTTATACCATAGAAATTAGACATTGGCAAACAGAAAGAAGAGCAAGCAGCAGTACTCAGAATCAGTAGGTCAAGTTCAAATATCCTTCCTAATTAGTCCCACCGTTCCAAAATACAAGGTGTATTAGTTTTTTCAAAAGTCACACATATGCATGTTTGACCAAGTTATAGAAAAAAGTATCAATATCTGCGGTACCAAATTTAAACTATTAGATCCATCACAAAAGTATTTCATATTTTATTTATTTTGTATTGTAAATATTGATATTTTATTCTATAATTTTTGTCAAACATATATAAGTTTGACTTGCACGATAAATGATGCACCTTATTTTCAACTATGAAGATGAACAAACAAAAGATGTCGCGTGGCATTTAAAAGCATGAGGGTCACAACCCAGACTTAATTTTGGGGAGTGAAGCAACATGTGACCGAGTGTTCAAACAGTAAACCAAAACAAAGCTAGATTAAAATTGTAATTGTGAGCCTGTGAGGAATTCATTGTTTAGGACAGAACAGTGTCTAAATGAGATTGATTGCTATTTTATGCTACGAAACCCTGGAGTTCTTCAATAGGAGTAGTAGTTTTGCATACAGAGACAGTTTAGTGGAGACTAGAATAGTGCTAGCGCTCCTTTACAGTTCACTCAAGTTTAAGTGCAAATCTACGTAATGCAGGGTTATGTACAGCATGAAGAAGGAATGCACCTTTTCGTGTCGTATACTTCTGATCAATCTGGTTTACAACAGATAAGCTAAACTGGGCAGAACGGCTCCAACCATATGGGAGATTGACCGAGTCGGCGACGTCCAAGTACATTGACAGGTGCTCCACATTATTCCCCTTGGGGAAAATAAGAACACGCCTGCATCAAAGCCACAGACGTTACCAAGTTAAAACATTCTGAAAAGTCGCAGCAGCTGCAGCTAGTATAAGGCTCAGTTTGTGGTTGCTGAACTGGGCTTATCTTATAATCGGCTGTGCAAAAATACACGGAACTAGAGATAAGTTGGTTAAACAAACACCAAACTAGGCAAAGCTGGTTGGGTAGGCTGGGTTATCATAATACACCGCAATGCCAACACAGCCGAATACGTGAAGAGACATAGGAGCTCACCATTTGTACCCACCGACGGCAAACACATCAGAGTAGTGCTTCTTCCCGTTGAGCCGGGTAAAACTTGCGATTGTCCAAGTGAACCGCGATGTCTGTGGGTCCTCAGAAGGCTGGCTCTCGGCTGTGCTTGCCGCTTCCGTCTGTGCCACCACTGCTACCATAGACATCAGAAGCCCCGGATTACGAACAATCCAAACGGGCATACCAGCACCACACATTCCCGAATCATGGTACGAATCAGGATGAAGCAAAGCACCAATCGAGATAGAGCTAGGGGCGCACACGATACCTTCCATGGGCTGGGCAGTGTCTGCATCGGCGGTGGCTAGCTCCTGGTGGGGAACAAGCATCTCGTCGTTCTCCTGCTGCGAGGTAGGAGAAGCAACGGCAAGTCGGGTTAGATCCGCCCCACCATAGAGGCGCAGTAGCCCCACCCGATCGCGGGGCCACGGGGAAGTGCAGCCGCGAGGAGGGGAGATCGGGCAATGGCGAGGAGGGTGAGGGTGCATGCGCGCGTACCTCGAGAGGGGCGGGAGTCATGATAGTCATATCGGCGTCGTAATAACCGTGGTCGTCTTTGGACGCGGCCGCAGAGAGGCGGGCGGAGCCGGAGCCGGCGGGGGCAAGGGCTGGAGAGGATGCGGCGAGGCGGAGCAGATGGGAGTTGGGCTGTGGGAGGAAGGGGAGGAGTGGCCGCGACGTGGAGCCTGATTTCATTTCCGTGCCGCAAGTAAAACAGTAAAAAAAAATGTGTAAGAGCTTCTCTAGCGATCCCGCAAACCGGGCCATCCTGCAAAAAGAAAACCGCCGGTTTGTGGGACGTAGACCGTTTTGCCGACCCGAACAGATCCGTAAATTCGGTCTTTCCAGAAATTTTTTGTGGGATCCTCCAAATCTACGGGAGAAGCGTCTGTTTTTGTCGGTTCCCTTTTCCTACTCATTTCTGCTTGCTTCCATTTGCGCTTCCACTCCCCGTCGTCGTCGCAGCCGCCGCACATCCCCACCTATTCTTGCTGCCCCTGGCTGCCCCACGTCGTCAGAAAGCTCCTCCGCCCCGCGTTGCATCCGTTCCACCAAGTTTCAGCGTGGGGGTGCCCATTTGTGTCCGGGGCCTCACGGCGGCCGCCGGCGCCATGGATCCACCCCGGAGCTTCGCACGCGGTCTTGTAGCGGGTGAATCCGGTTGGTTCCGGCACCGGTGAGCTTAGGAATCGGTGGGCCTCGCAGCGCACACCAGAGGAAGGAGTCGGCGCGGCTTTGCTTCAGCCAAGGGGAGAAGAAAGGGTCGGCATGACTTTGCTTCGGCCTGCGGGGGAGAAGAAAGGGGCGGCGGGGCTTTGCTTCGACGGCCAGCTTCGAGCGAGGTATGTCCAACGCCCGTGGAATTGTGTTTGATTTGGCTCGGTTGAGGTTCAGGTGAAATTCACGGGTGATTCGGGGGCATTTTGTAGATGGATTGGAGTTCATCCTCATCGTCTTCGTCTGATGACTTGGACATAGAAGAGATGTTCGTCAGCGACAATGTCGACAACCTAGTGTTGGTGCATCTCGTGAACGAAATTGAGGCGGGCCTGAAGAAAAAGCGGCGCGGATCCATGGTCGGCCGGCTATGCATTCCCCGCAACCGAGCTCTCGACGACAAGATGCTCATGAAGGACTACTTCGCCGAGGTACCGACATATCCGGTCACCTCTTTTGTAGGTGATATCGAATGCGTAGGTCCCTATTCGTGCGCATCATTGAAGCTTGGGAGCAAAATTGTCATATTTTCACTCGGCATAGGAATGTCGCCGGTTTTTTTGGCTTTAGTGCATATCAAAAAATATCGGCAACGACGAGAGTGATTGCATATGGTGTTCCGGTCGAATACGCGGATGAATATCTCTGCATTGGAGAAGATACCACCATCAAATGCGCAAGATAATGATTCAAGTTTTTGTCCCGGAGTACCTTCGTGCTCCAAACGAATAAGACGCAAAGAGGCTCATGGCAATGAACGAAAAAAGGGAATCACGGGGCATGCTAAGTAGTATTGACTACATGCATTAAAGGTGGAAGAACTGTCTAGTGGCTTGGGCAGGCAATACACCGGCCATAAACGAAAACCCACCACTGTGCTTGAAGCCGTGGCTTCGCATGATTTATGGATTTGACATTGTTTCTTTGGTTCGCTAGGGTCTCTCAATGATATGAATGTCCTGCAACGGTCTCATCTATTTGCTCAGCTAGCTAGTGACAAAGCTCCGACGTACAACTATACCGTCAATGGCCATGAGTATAACATGGGGTACTATCTGGTCGATGGTATTTATCCTTCCTGATCAACATTTGTGAAGACCATTAGTGATCGCATAATCAAGAAACGCAATTTCTTTGTCGAAGAACAAGAAGCTTGCCGAAAGGATACCGAGAGGGCATTTGGTGTCTTGCAAGCTTGGTTTGCCATTGTTTGAGGTCCTGCTCGCTTTTGGGATAAAAAAATCCTTCGGAAATATCATGACTGCTTGTGTAATTTTACACAATATGATCGTCGAGGATGAGAGAGATTTGGACTTGGACTACAATTGTGACAATGTTGGTAGCCATGTGAAGCCTGCTAGGGACACAGATGAGATCACTGCATTTCTTGAGACGCACTAGAAGATCGAGAACTGTGATTCACACAACCAACTCAAGCATGATCCTATTGAGCATCGTTGGCAACTCTATGGGGGTACATTCTCCCTTCTTATTCATTTGTATTTGTGTGTGATTTTGAACAATTTGGTGTTGTAATAATAATTCGAATTCAAACATTTGCTGTAATGAGACCAATTGTTGCATTGTGAATTGCTTTTAAGACAATCTGTATTCATTTGTTTAATTTATATTATGATTCCATTCAGTTTTCTCTGTTCAAATCTCTAAGTTATGAAGGTATGCAAAATTTGCGGTTCTGACAACCCTCCGGCGCAGAACAGATCCCGTAAAACATGGGTTTGCGGGGTCTGTTCCGTCGGAGGGTTCACGGGACTGCAAAAAAGTTTTGTGAGACAGCCAGTTGCGGGATCTGCTAGAGATGCTCTAATGCTGGCATCTCCAATGCGGATCACCTCCATAAATTTCCAAATGAGCAATTTTCGACAAATCTTTGGATTTCTCATTTTCTTCATCAGATGACATGGAGGTGCCGGCCATCCAGCCGGAGTCACCAAATGTCCGTGTGGTTTAAACGGGTAGGACAAGAAATGTGGGCAAAAATAACAAATTTCAATAATTCAGATGCAAACAAACGAAATTTAACAAGTTTGAAATAAACTTAACCGAAACTAAGCTAAAAATAGGCATAGTAGTGGATGGCGACCCCATAGGCGTGGCATCCAAGACCACGGGAACCTCGGTCATCATCGTCGACATCCGAACTGGTGTCGCCATCGTCACGCCGGTGGCGGAAGACCTGCCATGCGTTGCGACATCCCTCTCGGGTTGTCGCAGGGCGCTCATGTCGCAGCCGCCCAGCCACATCCTCTACTGACTTGTGTCATTTCCTCGGCTTGGTAGCAGATGGCGCGCTCGGAATCTGCCAGCCCCGCTTGGAAGAGCTAGGTGTTGAGGCGGCGTCGTCTACGAGCGTCAGACTCGATGGTGGTTTTGGACTGACCGAGGGCCATGCCTCCTGAAGGAAATATGCCCTAGAGGCAATAATAAAGTTGTTATTTTATATTTCCTTATATCATGATAAATGTTTATTATTCATGCTAGAATTGTATTAAACGGAAACTTGATACATGTGTAGATACATAGACAAAACACTGTGTCCCTAGTAAGCCTCTACTAGACTAGCTCGTTAATCGAAGCTAGTTAAGTTTCCTAACCATAGACATGTGTTGTCATTTGATGAAAATGATCACATCATTAGGAGAATTATGTGATGGACAAGACCTATCCGTTAGCTTAGCATATTGATCGTTCAGTCTCATTGTTATTGCTTTCTTCATGTCATATACATATTCCTTTGACTGTGAGATTATGCAACTCCCGGACACCAGAGGAATACTTTGTGTGCTATCAAATGTCACAACGTAACTAGGTGATTATAAAGATGCTCTATAGGTATCTCCGAAGGTGTTTGTTGGGTTGGCATCGATCGAGATTAGGATTTGTCACTCCGAGTATCGGAGAGGTATCTCTGGGCCCTCTCGGTAATGCACATCATAAGAAGCCTTACAAGCAAAGTGACTAATGAGTTGGTTGTGGGATGATGTATTATGGAATGAGTAAAGAGACTTTCCGGTAACGAGGTTGAACTAGGTATGAAGATACCGACGATCGAGTCTCGGGCAAGTAACATATCGATGACAAAGGGAATAACGTATGTTGTCATTACGGTTCGACCGATAAAGATCTTCGTAGAATATGTAGGAGCCAATATGAGCATCCAAGTTCCACTATTAGTTATTGACCGGAGAGGTGTCTCGGTCATGTCTACATAGTTCTTGAACCCGTAGGGTCCGCACGCCTAATGTTCGATGATGATTTAGTATTATATGAGTTATGTTATTTGGTGATCGAATGTTGTTCGGAGTCCCGGATGAGATCACGGACATGATGAGGAGTCTCAAAATGGTCGAGAGGTAAAGATTGATATATAGGACGATAGTATTCGGACACCAAAAGTGTTCCGGAGTGTATCAGATATTTATCGGAGCACCGGAGGGGTTTACCGGACACCCCGAGAGGTTAATGGGCCACATGGGCCAAAGGGGAAGGGGCACACCAGCCCACAGGGGCTGGAGCACCCCTCCTAGGACACCGGCCAAGTGGGAGAAGGAAAGGGGGGTCGGCCTCCCCCTTCCTTTCCTCTCCCCTCTCTTCCTTTTCCCTTCCGACAAATATGGTAGGTGGCGAATTGGGATAGGCCCCCAAGTAGGATTCCTCCTACTCGGGGCACCCCAAGGCTGTTCCCCTCCCCCTCCCACCTATATATATGTGAGGAGGGGGCGCCTAGAACACACACCAACAATTGTTAGCCGTGTGCGGCGCCCCCTCCGCAGATTACGCTTTCGGTCATATCTTCGTAGTGCTTAGGTCAAGCCCTGCGCGGATCACTTCACCATCACCGTCACCACGCCGCCGTGCTGAAGGAACTCATCTTGTTCCTAGACACCTCTGCTGGATCAAAAAGACGAGGGATGTCATCGAGCTGAATGTGTGCAGAACTCGGAGGTGCCGTATGTTCGGTGCTTGATCGGTCGGATCTAAAAGAAGTTCGACTACATCAACCGCGTTGTCAAATGCTTATGCTTTTGGTCAACGAGGGTATGTGGACACACTCTCCCCCCTCGTTGCTATGCATCTCCTAGATAGATCTTGCATGAGCGTAGGAATTTTTTTGAAATTGCATGCTACGTTTCCCAACAGTGGCATCCGAGCCAGGTCTATGCGTAGATGATATGCACGAGTAGAACACAAAGAGTTATGGGCGGTGATCGCATACTGCTTACCACCAATGTCTTATTTTGATTCGGTGGTATTGTTGGATGAAGCGGCCCGGACCAACCTTACATGACCACGTTCATGAGACCAGTTCCACCGACAGACATGCAACTAGTTTTGCATAAAGGTGGCTGGCGGGTGTCTGTTTCTCCAACTTTAGTTGAATCGAATTTGACTGCGGCCAGTCCTTGTTGAAGCTTAAAACAGCAAACTTGATAAATCACTGTTGTGGTTTTGATGCGTGGGTAAGAACGGTTCTTGCTAGAAGCCCGTAGTAGCCACGTAAAACTTGCAACAACAAAGTAGAGGACGTCTAACTTGTTTTTGCATGGCATGTTGTGATGTGATATGGTCAAGACATGATGTGATATACGTTATTGTATGAGATGATCATGTTTTGTAAAAGTTATTGGCAACCGGCAGGAGCCTTATGGTTGTCTCCTTATTGTATGAAAAACGAACGCCATGTAATTGCTTACTTTATCACTATGCGTTAGCGATAGTTGTAGAATAAATAGTTGGTGCGACGACCATGACGCTATGATGGAGATCAAGGTGTCAAGACAGGGATGATGGAGATCATGATGATGCTTTGGAGATGGAGACAAAAGCATAAGATGATGATGACCATATCATGTCACATATTTTGATTGCATGTGATGTTTATCTTTTATGCATCTTATTTTGCTTAGTACGATGGTAGCATTATAAGATGATCCCTTACTAAAATTTCAAGGTATAAGTGTTCTCCCCGAGTATGCACCGTTGCGACAGTTCGTCGTGTTGAGACACCACGTGATGATTGGGTGTGATAGACTCTACATTCACATACAACGGGTGCAAGAAAGTTTTACACATGCGGAATACTCGGGTTAAACTTGACGAGCCTGGCATGTACAGACATGGCCTCGGAACACTGGAGACTGAAAGGTCGAACGTGAATCATATAGTAGATATGATAAATGTCGGTGCAAGAAACCATGGGTCCATTGCCCAGACTGTGCATAGGCACGGGAGCAAGTTTATAGCACCAAGGTCAGGCCAAAGTACACGGAATCAAGATCTTAAAAGGACCAACGTGCAGATCAAGAGGACCAAGACCAAGCCAGAGAAGTAAGAAACCACCAGGAGAAAAGCCTCCCTTGCTGGACAGGCGAGCCCGGCAAGGACGGGGTTACCCCAGAAGAAGACCTCCAAGACGCCCCAGCAGGGCCTGTCGGGACTCACGGAGACGAAGCCACCTCACTAAACCACTTCACCACGACGCACGTCGCCGATCAGTGCGGTGTCAAGCCGTAAAGTGACTAAGTGGCAGCCATATGCCACATGGCAACCTCTTTCTACAGGAAATACCTACAGACGACACATG